TGTATCAGGAAAGTTGTTTAAGCTCATGGCCTCGGTATCTCCCATTCACTTGTTTCCCTTTAATAATCTAATGTTAATACATGTTATGCCTGCAGCAGCCTTATTATGGAAATCATTAACTGAACTTACCCAGATGGTTAAGCACTCTGAAAATAAAGATGAGACTGATGGCAGTAACTGTGTAAGAACCCAGAGGGTGGGTTTAGGCAGAGAGTGTTAAGAAAATACCTCTTTTGGTGATGGAATTTATCTTCTGTACACTGAATTTTAAAGACCTGTGGAAGTGCTAGAGGTCTTTTGATGTCCCTGACATCTGAGGTTGCTTGGACATGAAACCTTTAAACTGAGTCTGCTTTCTTCAGCCTATGCTCCTTCCTGTCTCTTCAGTGATGCTGGCTCAAACATTTCTTCCAGCCTTTCTTTTTCTAGTTTTTCCTGTTCCTCACATTCCCTTCTTGTTTCTCTCAGGTTCCATATTGCCTCTGTTTTTCTCAAATGCTGAAGTTTTCAAATATCCTTCCATTAAGGTGACCATGTACTCAGTTGCATGCTTCCTCTTGGAAAGTCGCTGCCTGCCTCGCTGCATGGGATCAATGTCATCACTTAATGACTAGAAATTCAATACTTTGTTTTATGTGACTTGCATAGTATATGATCCGTTTCTCACCTTCTTGTCCACTCTTAGATTTTTCTTTGACTGTGGGCTTGCATTTACTTGTGTTTAGCGCTGATCAGCACGATGTCTGACTGCTTCCTAACCTATTTCTCTTTTGGACATGGCTGTAAGGCCTCATTCTTATCATGCATATACTGGTGAGGATCAACTTCCTCCAGGAGGTTAGTTGCCTCTTTCAGATGTTTATTTTTTTCTTTCTCCACCACTACTGTTTGGCTTGCAGGAAACCCCTGCTCATCTGCTGTGTGCACTTCAACTTTTGTAACAGGTTGGGCCATAGGGTGTGGACCTGCTAAGCAAACGCCCTTGGCAAAAACAGTCCCTGCCAAAATCAGCCAATGATCCAGCCTGAGGACTAGTAAGGACTAATAAGGCTGTGCAGCAGCTTTAGCCCTCATGTTTCCTGTCTTTCGTTTGCAGTCCTATTAGGAAAGGAATGGAATAAATGGATTTTCTATAGTCTTCAGAAAGCAGAACTGGGGGAAGAAAAAATTTGCAGTTGTGTAGGTGTGTTTCCCTCTGAGCATTGGGGCAAGAGTGGAAGTGGGAGATTCTCATCACTGACATCTGTCTGCATGTTTGTTGGCAGCTGTGTTTCCACAAATGGCAGCAGTAGCCCTCTAGGAGCCACCAGTGCAGGAAGATGTCGAGTAGTTTCCCAACTACTTCTAGAAGCAGAGAGATGCTGAGTAGGGAAAAATGGACCTAATTCACAGAGGTGTGGTGGCCATCTTTCTACTGGCTTTTCTCTGCAGAATGTTTCCTTTTACTCAGTGTCTCTCCATCTATACCTTGCACATCTGTGTGCCCCTGAGAACTACAAAAAATCCTCCACCTTTCCCTATCTAATGAGATATTCTTTCCTCTTGACTAGAGAGAGAGAGATGAGATATTCTTTCCTTTTGACCTCCTTTTCCCTTTGACCAAAGGCTAGCCTGGGAGATCTCCCAGTCTCTGTTCCAAGATCAGACACCATAGAGCTTTTTTTGCAGAAGTAGCAGGGATATCTCTTCTCAGACACGTGGCTTGTAGGAAAGAGCAGATTCCCCTCAGGTGATTCATGGTATTTGGTTTACCAAGGGGGAAAGAAGGGGAAAGTATGTTCCTTGAATACAAGAAGTCCAGAGAACTTTGTTGCTAAGCTCTGAGTCTCTGTTGAACCTTTTGGGCTTTGGACTTTTCAGATACTTACTGCTTGGCCAAATTTGAGGTGACTTTCTTAAAGGGAGACGGACATACAAGATTTCTATTCTGGAAAAAATAAAGGGATTACTTAGAGACTCAGATAAATAGCTGGAATTCTTTTTTGTGTGAGTAAATTCTTTCTTTCCTCCCTAATTTTTTTCTTTGGAAATAGATGACTGAATATTCTTTTAAAATCTTCATGCCAAAATGAAAACTAGTAAGAAACTGTATGCAATTCTGTGCAGCCTGGTGAGGTTTGGGTGACAAATATTAATTGAAAACAGGCTTAAGCAGAAAGTATTCAGGTGTGTTACCTACACATCTACTATGACCTTAAGTACTTGAGGGGTGAACCTTCAGCATTGGCTTCATCCAGTCGAACAATGAAAAAGTCAGTTGAAATTTTTTACAGAGAGAGTAATCAGACATTGGAATGGAATGGGCTGCCCAGGGAGGTGGTGGATTCACCATCCCTGGAGGTTTTTAAGATGAGACTGGGTGTGGCACTTAGTGCCGTGGTCTAGTAACCATGGTGGTAGGGGATCAAGGGTTGGACTTGATGATCTCAGAGGTCTTTTTGACTGGTTGATTCTATGATTCTATGAATATCAGAGCTGATTGAAAACCAGTCCTGTATGAGACTTTTTGCAAAGAGTTAACTGGACTGGAAAGCCCAGTTGTCCATTTTTCTTCATATTACAAAGGAATTGAAATCTCTCCAAAGTGAGTGTGACAAACTGGGATAAAGCAGATCATTCTTGCTTGGTATGATTGCACTTTGGCTGGGCAGTTTGCTGATTATATTTGTGGAGGACACTAAAATGGGGGACACCCACAGAAAGGCAAGTCTGTGTTTTAAGTAATCTAATAATGGTGGAGGTTCAGTCTGGGGTGGGGGTTGGGGTTTGGGAAGGGAATGTGATTTGGGAGAAAGGACAATTTCATTTGGACAGGAAAAATCAGTGATATAAATATACCCTAGGAAGTGACTGGGTCCTTTGCGGTTCAGCAGCATGAGTCTAAGGATTATAGTAGATCACAAGGTGAACATGAGTTAACAGCGTGAGTTTTGTGAAGAAGCCAAAATCATATTCTGAGATGTATGAGTAGAGGCACAGTCTGTGAGACACATGAATATTATCCTTCCACTGTACTCAGCATCAGTGAGATCTTGAGCTGAGCTGAGTCGATAAAGAGCAATGAGAATGGTCAAAGTCTTTAAAACATGGCTTATAAGGAGAGACTGAAAATATTGTTTTAGTAAGAAGGGGATATTGTGACATTTAAGTTAGATAATATAGGGAAAAGATAAAAAAAACAAGAAAAAAACCCCATGAAATGTTTCAAGTGAAACCCATTCAATTTCCTGGGAAGATGATGGAGCTCCTGAGGCTGGTGACCTATAAGATGAGGTGAGGCAAATGCCTCTTAGGAATGATAGGGATGCAGTTGACCCTGCCTGGAGTTCAGGGGAATGGGCTACATGATGCCATGTGGCCCATTTTGGCTTTACAGCTCCCTGCTGTCCAAATGCCTTCCCAAAGTGCAAGGCAATGGGAATATGAGCTCTCATCCTTCTCTTTGTGTTTTTGTAGATCTGACTACTCCCATGTGTTAGAGTGTTCAGGAGGGTTTGCTCTTACAGAGCTCCCTGTACAGAGGAGTTAGAGTAGCTCTGTCACAGAGTTACCCTGTTACAGAGATCAGAAAGCAATTGGTGTGAGGGGGAAGGTCAGAACAGGTGCTAAGAAAACCCCTTTTCAGATATAGTCTGTTTCAAGCATTGGCGAGGCCCGATGTGTAAGCTGTGTTCGGAGGTGGGAATGATCTAGCAGTTCATTCCTCTCATCAAACTGGAGAGGGAGAGTGGTTGCAGCTGCTGCTTGCAAGTTGCCTTTAAACAAACCCTGCCTGGGAAAGCCCAAATCTCTCAACCTTAAGGTTTCCAAAACATGTAGCAGCTGGCCAACCTTAGCTGCTTGCTGCTGCTGGAGGTGAAGGTCAGAGTTGAACCTGAACGCTTGTTCCATTGGAGTAGTGGTGGCAAAGACTCCTATGGGAAAGGCTGTTGAGTCAACCACAGAGTGTGCAGCTACCAGTGAGGTGGAGGAAAACCTCCGTGCTGTAAAAATAGCTGCACTAGGAGCCCTAATATACTTAAGTGCTTATTTTTCCATGTGTGATCTCATGCAAGCCAAGCTGCTGGGCAGCATGACATAGCAGTTGGCCAAAATTAAAATGTAACTCAATCAAAATGGTTTTTTTCTGAAGTTAACCTTTGATGGGTAGGAGGGATAGGTACTCTTTTTCTCATTTCTATTGTTCCTGTTAGAAAAAAAAAAAGTGCAGGGAGGAAAGACAGGTGAAGATGGGATTGACACCTGGTATCTGTTTTGTGATGATAGCCACAGGTTGAGGATAGGAGTTGCAGCTTTCTTGCACAGGAAACTTATGCCTATAGTACAGCAAGAAAATGTACATGGGATTTCTCTGTGTGCCTCTGCAGCTAAGTTCACTGAACTGAGTTTGGGTGAGTATTTGATGCTACAAAAAGGTATAGACCTAAAATTTGAAGCCGAAGTCCATGAGCCAGCAACCTTGGAACAAGGCACTCTAATCCTTGTTGATAAGCCTTAGAGAAATGTCTTTAGAGGCCTTTAGAGGTTCTTTTTCCTTCACTTTGTGATACTTGGCCATTAGTTTATTTTTATTTTTTATTTTGGTAAGTTGTGCTAGACCTATATGTGGTGGGCTGATACCATGAAACCCCTAAGACAAAAGCCACTGAATGCCTGGACATGCTAGTAGTTTGACCACTATCTTGCCAGGGTTATCATTACACTCTTCAAGAAGAAGAAAGCCTTACTAATCCCTTGCTGGTGGAGAAGTGGACAGACCTGAGGAGGAGGGTTGCTTTCCTCTTAGCAAATGTAATCCTGAATTTCATATGTGAAAGCACGTGCATCTCATGGCAGAACTCTGGATACACATAAGCAGATTTGGGGCAGTGTTTTTTTTTTTTTTTCTAGCCATTAACACAACTTATAACTACTACAGTTTGTTTTTTTTCTGTAATGACAAAAGCCAGGGGATAAAATCGCTGTCACCACGGTCTTCTCATTACACTTCTTCTCTGCAGAGCCTCTGACCTGTTTCTGCTGGACACGCGGGCAGTGTGGGCATCGGAGGAGGGCTGGCTGGAGTTTGATGTCACTGCCACCAGTAACATGTGGGTGATGAGCCCTCAGCACAACATGGGACTGCAGCTGAGCGTGGTGACCCAGGATGGTAGGTTACAGGCCAGGTAACACTACTCACCTCTGGAGTCCCTTGGATGTTGTCCAGAAGCGGTGCTAACGGAACCTAGTTGGGATGTGGGAGGGTGAGCACCCTAAGCAGTTGTAGCCAACACCACGAGCAGGGTGTCTGAGGGCACAGCTGGTGGACTGTCAGTTATTGGCTGCCCCATGATGGACATATTTTTCCACATAAGTGAGGTCAGGTATCTCTAGACAGTACCAGGATGAGCTGGTGGAGGTGGATTGGGGTAGTGTCCAACCTTGTTTTCTTTTTGTCACTTCATGCTGGAATTTGCTACACCTGTGATGTCAAGTGAGAGTAGAGGGGTTGTCCTCTGTTCTCCCTGAGGAAATATTAGTGCCAGCCTCTACCTCCCTGGCTGGGCTGAGAGCCCATCTCTGTGCTCCTGACAAAAGCACACCATCCCTTTGCCCTCTGCTTTCCCTAGAGGTCTCCTAATCTCATGTCTGCTTCTTGTGTTTCACAGGCAGCAGAAGTAATTCATGACACCTCTGGTCTTCGTGTTTTATATATCTATCTATATAACTCTTTATAATAGAGTAGAAAAAATTGAGAGTTTATTTATATAACTGTTTGTGTAGAGTAAAAAAAAGCCTAAACTGGAATAGAGATGCCAAAGAGGTGCCAAAGAGCCAGGTGCTTCACTGAAGTCTCTTGTCCAGGATGGAGTGCTGTCATAACAATGCCCATAGGCTGTGGTGGCAGGAAAGGAATGTTTAGTGTTTAAAGAAGAGCACGAAGAAAGGAGACACTGCTTGTGGGGATGTTGCGATGCTGAAAGGAACAATCCACCTGCACTCTTTTTTCTGACATTCACTTTACCGTTTGGTTTGAAGGTTTCAGCGTAAATCCTAGAGAAGCAGGCCTTGTAGGGCGAGATGGCCCTTACGACAAACAGCCTTTCATGGTGGCCTTCTTCAAAGTGAGCGAAGTTCACCTCCGGACCACTAGGTCAGCGACGAGCAGGCGCAGGCAGCAGAGTCGGAACCGCTCCACCCAAACTCAGGACGTTTCCAGGGTGTCAAGTGTCACAGGTAACCATGTAACACAGGTAATCATGCAGCACGAGCTGGGATGACTTGTAGTGTTTCCGGTTGCTTTGGAGCTGAAAGAAGCAAGAAGGGGTTCGTAAGGTGGGATGCTCTTCCCTGGGGTATATAGGTTACATCTGCAAGGGGGTGGTAGAGGAGATCTCACGTAATAGACTTACAGGAGTCCTCTTGAATCCAGGGTGGAGTCCAGACCCCCATGTGAAGTTCCATCCATTTACTTCAAGGGAGTGAGGTATTTTAGCCACAACTCTTGTGCTTGTAGGTTGCTTGCTAAGCAGTATTTGTCTAGGATTATGCCCTCTGAAGTGCAATATTTGAAAGATTCAATCTCTGTGTACACTGAGATTTATGGTATGGCACAAATGCATTCCCAGCAGAGTCCTCCTTCAGATTTCTTTGGAAAAAGTGTGGTGGAACAGCAGAGAGATCTTTTTTTTTTAACCTTGTGGCAAAACCACGACAATCAGTGTTTACATGGTAAAGCACATTTCCAGGCAGGCAAAGAAGTTTTCCTGTTTGCTGTGGAAAGGTTGCATGTTGCAGGTGTTTTACAGCAGCCTTATGAGTGCTGTTGTGGGCTGGTGGGGCAATACAGTACCTCTGAAATTTTTATAAAAATTGAGAGAGTCTCCTGTCTTCTAATTCTTGTCTGTTTTTCAGCCACTCTGCCTTCCATCACAGTGCTACAAGTCCTTCTTCATTGAGTACCTTCTTCCTTCTCAAACGTTTTAGCTTGTTCCAAGTTACTTGATTAATTTGCTTATGCTGCCCCCTTCATTTCCAATAGGATCCCTGCCCTTCCCGTCTCTAGAAATGACTATGCCCCAAGGAAGAGAGGCAGCTGTATTTCTTAGTTTATATCCTGACGCAGCACAGGGAGATAAGCCAGCGTTGCCATAACTTAGCTGGTGTGAATCTGTAGGCTTTCGCCTGCTCCTGAATGCTTGGGCTGTGGGTGAGCCACGCTGCACCTGAGGCTGCTCCATGCTGGCCATGGTGCTGGGAGCCTTCAGGGAGCAGAGCCAGAATGGGAGCCCTTCCAGGGTTGGTGGCCAGGGTTTGTGCATGGCCATGTGTTGATTCAGCCAAATTGCTCCAGCCCATCATACTGATGGACTTACCCTCTGGGCTAGGGCATGCCAGCAGCAGTTGGCCACTAGTGGCCTTTGCGTGTCCTCGTGGTGCACACTGCAGCATGGCTGTGGGTTCCCATGCCATGCTGTGCAAGGGCCAGTGTGAGTGTGAAATCCTTCATGGATTTTAAGGGCAGGAGAAAAGAGTCAGTCCTGAAGCCTGGCCTCCCCAGGGGAGGCTGGCCAGTGCCAGCATGGCATTGCTGGAGGAGTTAACATCTAATCTAGCATGAGAGCCCTCTGCCAGCACCTTCTGGGGGTCCAAATTTCTGAAACCTGCTTTAGTCCTGGTTTCCTTCTGGTGTCCAAGCTGCAGATTTAAAGCTAGGCATCACGGCTGCTCGCTGAGTTGCTTTCCCATGTGATGAGTTTGCTAAAACAAAATTTTCAGATTATTAAATCAGGCAAAGTGACTCAAAGCTCCAGAGGGAGCAGATACGTTGGGCAAAAGGGGACATTTTTATATTGCTGCTTTCTTGACTACACCACACACCAGGTCATAAAATTCTAAAATGACAAAAAAGAGAAAAAATAGCTGGCATTCTGTGGTCTCAAGGGCTTTTTTGGGCTCTTCTAGCTTAAAGCCAGCTTTAATTTAAAACCTGGAATTTGGCATTTCTGTAGTCAATAGTTGAGACTGTTAAGGTGGGGGAAAGGAGAGGCGTTTAAAGTTAAGATGTATGTTTGGTTGGTTTCTGTGTTTAGAAAAGAGAAACTACATCAGCTTGTTTTCCATTCTAAGTGAGATACTCTCAGGCTCTGTTCTCTTTAGGAAGTGGTTAATTTAACAGCCCAAGAGGCACCAATGACCAATAAGGGTTTTGAGCATTAAAGAGATCACAGGGTTTTTTTAAATTGTGAAGGTTTCTACATCCGTGGCCCTGGGGTTACCCCGAAGTTTGCTTAGTTCTTCTGAGGGTGCCCTGATGCATCTGGACTCAAAGCAGGTGAAGAACTGGGTTGCATCTCCCTGCCTATGCATCTTTCTCTCTTGCTGTATCTTATTTCTTGTCAAATTTTTGGTCTATGCTCTTCCTCAAGGAAGGAAGGAAGGACTGCTAGCTGCCTACAAGGGCTTGAGAGCAGTTTCTCTCCTTGAGAGCAAGGCAGTGGTTTGGTGTTGATGGTTTCCTCGGTAGATTGAAACTTCCTTTCTCTGTGTTAGTGGATGCACGGGGATTTCTTTTTTCAGTCCAAAAAAGAACCCAGTTTCCTAAAGATACTCTGAGTTGTTTTGGGGCAATATGTTTTAAGAAGCCCCATTTACTATCTAAACATGACAAGCATTTCAAGTCCTGCAGTTTGGAGTGCATGAAGTGTGCTGCTGGGCTGGTACTGGATCTGGTGAACTGGGGGTTAGGTGAAAGCATGCTGCTGTGTGTGGGAAAGGAACCCCACTATGCTCCCTTTGACATGCAGTTGTTGTCCTGCAGTCAGTACCAAGAGCTCAGATACTAAGGCTATGGCTGTGGCATGAGATTCTCAGTGATCTGTATCTTATTTCCCTGTATTACAAACACGTAATTATGATTGGCTTGTATAAAGCAGAACTGAATAACCCCCATGGTTATAAACTGCTTTGACACAGAGTCCTGCATCAATACATTCTTGGAGCCAAGCTCAGTTCTTTGACGAAGGAGGACGAGCAGGAAGAAAAGGGAGTATTTTCACCTGCTGGGGCAGAGGATCACATGCCAACTCTGGCCCAGGACGTGGAGGAACGAGGTGGGTGGGAGGAGCATGCAGGTGTTTCTCTGCTGTTGTCTGCAAGGTCTGGAGCCCCTCACTCAGCCAAATCTTGAAATGGGTTGAGCTTGTGCTCTCAGACTCCACGCTGACCCTCTGGTTAACTGAAGAGATGGGGACTGTCTTCAGCGTAACAGATGGTGACTCTCTACCATACAGCCAACTCCATGATTTACGGTTTCTGCACAGGCCTGTCTCCTTGTCTGATGGCGATAATCCTTCTCTTCTGCAAGTCAGCCTTCAGGCATATCCCTTCCCGTCAGCCCTTCCTGATGGAGACCATTTAAACGCCTGACTTTGGGCTGTGCTTGCTGCTCTGAGTGAAACTCAAGCAAAACTCTTTTTCAGGTCCTTCTCTTTAACCATCCTAGGGCCCCTGGGATTTGTGTGAGGTGCTCCATGATAAATGAAGAGGCCCTCCAAGTGGCCTTTCCATCCAGCAGACACGCACAGCACCAGACAGATTTTCCCATGCGTACGGGAACCAAATATCGCAAAGGGCAGTATGCACAAACACTGAAGGCAAATAAAACCAAATGCTTTTGTGATGGCAAGGGTCTTGTTAACAAACTTCATTATCTTGCAGCCCATCTTCCCTTCAGCATAGTGCTTGGATGCAGACCGGAGCAGCGTGGCCAGCATTTCTGTATGTGCCTTCACATGCGAGTTCATGTCAGCCCAACATCTCCCCTTCTTCCCACCCAAGCAGATCACTTTCATGTGAAGTGGGCTGTTATTAAGTGTGTGATCAGTTTACACCAGCTTTATCCGGGAAAATCACCAAAGTCAAACACCAACAAGAAGGGGCTGGCCTTGGAGACCTCTGTCAAAGCTATTTTGAATCACAGAAGCAATTAATTACTGTGTGGAATTTGGTAAACTGGCACCTGGGGAGCAGCAAGAGTGTTCTCATTCGGATCGACCTCAGTAAATATTTATATGTTCTTTGCCAGCACTTAACGTGGGAGAGGTTATAGGAAATCTAGGGTTAGTGCATAAGTATCTGTAGGAGGAAGACTATTAGGGTCAGGCTATTCTCTTGCCCTTTTCAGGAACACACATGCCAGTGTCCAGCCTTAAGAGAAACATCTGTGCTCGCAGAAAGTCCAACTTGGGGCCTGGTGAAGGCAGACAACATTCAGTGCAAACAAGCTGCAGAGACAAGCCATCTTAACTGTGCTGTTTTAACTGTGTTGCTCTGTGAGTTATTTTTAAGTGCAGAACTAGGGGTTTGGGTTTTTTTAAATCTCTGTTTTAGGCAAAATAGTTAGCAGTATGATTAAATGCAGTGCCTTGTAAATGCCAAGCTAGTGTTTCTGAATTGGTATGTTCAGAGGAAAAAATAGAGATGATTTCGCTAAAATCACAATGAGCCTATAGGAATTCCCAAAGCAGCTCTCTAAACTCTCAGGGATTTTAAGGGTCTCTGGCAAACAATGCTCACAAATTGTGCTGTGGCGGTGTAAGCTGGCCCCATGGAAGTTGTTTGTAGCATCCCCCCTGCTGCAAGCTGCCTGCTCTTGGCCCTCCTCGCTCCTTGCTGCAGGGCTGGTAGGAAGGACCATGAACCCTGTTGCCTCTTGCCAGTTGGATCTTGCACTGCTGCACCACCTCAAATGGCAATTTGGGCTAAAACAGCTGAGCATGCTGGTCTGGGGTAGCTGATGCTGCTTTCCAGGCTTTGGAGAAGTTGTGTTGTGGAAGCCAACTTCAGTAGCTCAGTGAGCTTTAGCTTACTGCCAAAACCCCTTGACTGTGTGTATTCCTCTTTTTTTCAGGGCCATAACTGGATGTACATTTAATATATGTGGCTCTAGGGCATATGCCGAGCCCCTAACAGTAGGGAGTGGGTTATGACTGTCTGCATCTGTTTTGCTGCCTTTTTTTTCTCCAATTCAGAAAGTCACTGCTAAGGTTGCTTAAAGGTTTGTAAAACCGCTGAAGTTGGGCTAAAGTAGCTTCTATGAAGTAGACATAGTAGGCAAACACATAACAAGAAAACAGGGCAGGGAATCTTGGGGTGAGGGTTAAACAGGGAAGAGTGCAAATCCAGGGAGAGGGGATGTTTAGTATGTTGATGTTCCAGGAAGCAAAGGCTCAGTCTGGGCAAGTGAGAAGATAGAACTGTCTACATCTGCCTTGGATGGAGAGCAGCCAGGGCTCCATGCAGAGTGTGAATCAGGTGACTCCAACCAGTGAGCTGAGGCAAGGTTTTGGGGGCAGTGTGAGAGAGGACACGTTCAGAACATGTTCTGCTTCATGTAGCTTGTTAAGCAGCTTTTTTTTTCCACCCTTCTGTTTTCTTAAACTTGTGATTGCTTGCAGCCTTCCTTCCTACTCCTGTTTTCTCTGCCTCCCTTGCCTTCTCCCCTTTCCTGTAGCAGATTTGGGTATGTTGTAGCTGGATTTGGAATGTAGCATCATTCTGCCCACTCAGTTGTGAATAGATGAACTCCACTGTAACTCCCAAATACAGATGGTTTTCTTCTAAGCAAACTACATATTTCCCATTGAAGAACAATTAAGTTGTGTTTTCAGGTACTTAAAGGAAAGCCTTTGATCACTAAAAGTATCTTCTGCTCACTTTTTTTCCCCCTCATTATGACCAGATCATTTCAAAACATCTCATGCTAGAAATTTGCTCCTAGGCTGAGCCAGGGACTGAAAAGCTTCATCTGAAAAAAACCCACCACACCCTGGTCTCTTCTGGGTATGTCTGGTTTGAAAATGGAAAGCTTGAATAGAGAGACTCTCCTCCGTCCTTGCTACCACATGCTCCTGAAAAAGTGAATGTTTATACTGCAGCAGGCTGTTAACCAGCTCTGCTCACCTGATTAAATCCATGATTGAAGCAAAGCTATTGAAAGTCTGAAATGCAATCCTTAGAGTTTAAAACCCAAGCTGCTTCTAAAAACAACTCTCTAATCTTTGGTGGTTAGGAGGCTGGGTTTGAGGTGTAGGGTTTTTTTCAGCCCTCAGTGTTAACTGTACCCAGCTGTACTGCTGTGCTGCCCTTAATGTCAGTTGGATGTGCTTTTAGTATTATAGTTTTTCTTTTGAATAAATATTTGCATTTGTAGTTCCCAAACTTTGGGGGGGGGGGAGGTGCTGGAGGGAAGAAAAAGAAAGGCTTATTCAGAGCCAAGGAAAAAGTCACTAAAAATATTTTTCTATCCCAGCTGCCGCATCTGGGGGAAGCTGCGCTGGGAGGGTGCCCTTTCAAGCCATGTTAGGGGCACCAGGGGGCTGGTAAGCCAAAAGGTCCAGGGCAGTGGGAGGCAGGCACATCATCGTGTGGCATCTGCCTGCTGACAGAAGCGTCTTTACTTGCAAATGAGGTGAGAGAGGAGGAGGCCCCTGTGGAAAGGCATGGGAGGAGAACATGGACCGGGAAAACATGGGCTCCCACGCTGCTCGGCTGAATTTGCTGCCGTCTCTTCCCCTCACGCTTCCCATCGAGTGCACAGCGCGGGTTCAGCAGCTGTAGCTGGTGGCAAAGCCGCTCCGCTGCAAAGGTGGTTTCTGTGGCTGATCTGCTGAGGTCCAGCAGCCACCTGAGGTGTGACAAAATCAGCAACCACCCGTCAGGGCTGGATTCGTGCAGCCACCCGGAGGTGAAAGGCCCCTCTGTCACGGCTCAGCTCCTCTGTGGTTCCAGGTGTTCACATGTGGAGCCGCCTCTCTTTCCAAATATAAATGGGAAATTCCACTCGCTGTCAAAAGCTGTACTTTGTGGGGTCATCACGAGCAGCTCCTGCATAGTTGAAACATCCTCATACATTGCGTCACGGCAAGGGAGAAGGTCTCTGGTCAGGGCTTTGCACCCTGCGTTCCCTCTCTTTGGTGAAGTATTGGCACTAAGGGGCAAGTGAATGGTGAGAGCATGTCAAGTTCTGTGTCACCTGCAAATAAGCAACTTATCGAAGGGAGAAACAGGTTTTTCAGAGCATGGTCGGTAAAGGTCCAAGGGCGGACGTGGTGCATGGGGTGATGTCTGGGGAAGGCTGGGGATGGGCACATGGCTTCCCTGCCTATGGGACACTGTTAGCTGTTTAAGGACTCCTGCTAACTGCCACAGGGACACAAGGTGAGGATTAACCTTCCTGGGGCTGTAATTCTCTCAGTAAGTGCGTGCGGTTTGAGCTCACGACCCGGGGCGGCACACACTGGAAACCGCAGCCGAGGAAGTGGGGTGAGTCTGAGCACCCAGTGGGGATGTAGCCTATGCCGGGCTGAAGGAGTAGATTTATTTTTAAGAAGTCGTTTTACTGGAGGTGTTTTACAAGCACTTTGAAGGCAGCTGAAGTAATTATAACTGAGTCACTGTTACTTGGGTTCCTCCATTCCCAAAGGCATCTTAAAAGCTTCAGCCCTGCTTTGGATGTCCCTCAACACCCTTATCCTTTTGGCTGCTGAGGGAGCTCATCATTTCTCGCTGCTGAGCCCACAGCATGCACACTCTTGGCCAGCTGTGCCCTGCAGTAATGCTCTGCCTGTTTAACTTTCTAAATTCTTGTTTTGTTCTTTTTATTTTAACAGATTACAACAGCAGTGACTTAAAAACAGCTTGCAGAAAGCATGAGCTTTACGTTAGCTTCCAAGACTTGGGATGGCAGGTGTGTGATGTTTCTCTCTGGGTAAACTGGACATTTTGTTATGAAATGTTATCTAAACAGTGTCACGGTAATTCCACTCGAGTCTGCCATTATGCTTTAAAATGTCCCTTGTGCCTTCTCACTAAAACCAGTCACAGGGTAGGGCAAATAAATATTGATAGTTGTGACACTTGATAAGATCCAGAGGAAGCTTGATACTTTATGAGATTCAAGTATACAGTCATTCTCTGTCACTCACAGGAGTCACGGTACGGGCAAGGCTTTATATCTGTGTACCTCTAATGATAAGGAAAAAAATCTGATGTTAAGCAGAGATTTTAACTAAATTTTTTTTTTGTTGTGTTCAGCCACTGTTTGAAATGGGCCATTGTTTGAAATCCTCCACCCCTGCCCCACCATTAGCACTGCCTGTGGTAGGCAGACTGAAGACTGGGTGTAGTTGGAACACTACGAGGCCAGAAAGTTGTTTAGAGTAGTAGTACTTAGGACCAGGCCACAGTGTAATCAAACATCACATTTCAAAGAATGCCTTCACCTTCTCTTTTTTAAAATTTTAAAATTTTTCTTTCATTCAGCACTTTTGTGAGGGAGGTCCCATTTCTGTCAGCTCATGTTTTGACCTGGTTATAACTCAGAATGCCAGGGCTGCCCCTGGTGCTGCCCCTGGATGTGGAAGTCCTCTCTCAGCTAATGGGACAGCAGCATTTTTTGTAACTTGTGTCAACTCCAGCCCACTAGCTGCAACTGTGGCTGCATGCAGACTCCATTCCCCATTACTTCTGAGTGGCTTTTCTCTTGTGAGCAGTTTTTCCACCTCTTCCTTAGCTAACTTGCCCTGCTTTTGGGCAGGAAGCGGATTCCAGTTGTGAAATTCATGATCTTGAAGGCAGTGCCTTCATGTTTCTAATTGTAGAAAGGTACAATGCTGCTGAAGGCAAGCCACAAACCAGCAGGGCTCGTTGGTAGAGTTGGAATCCAGGTCCTACTTGTTGCAGGGAGATGATCAAGGCAGGGCAGCAGCCCCCTGCAGTTGTTTGGCACTCCAATTTTCTTCAGAACATCCATTAGTTTTTTTTTAAGCAGAGCACTTCTCTTATTCTTACAGCACATTAAACCACAAATTTAATTACACAGTCTGTACTGGCTTCTCTAGCAGGAGGATGATTTTCTTATGAAAAGCAGCTTAGTTTACCAGGAGCAAATTATAGGTGAACTAGTACAGTAAAATGGAGTTTTTGCTATGCCCAGGTATCCTCATGGTAGCAAACTTGGCTAGCAAAGCTACGGCAACAGTGTCTGGCTGCTCAGGCCCACTCTAGCAAAATTCGAGCAAACAGAGATAATTCTTGTCTGGTAAAGGGGAAATTGTCTAAGAATTCTGTGCACATGAGGCATACCAGTATGTTCTTCTGCAGGATAACCTGCAGAGCCTGACACCAAAGGAAGCAAAATATCTCCTGTTAATTATTGCTGCTTTTTGTTTTCCTTTGGCTCTTTCGTGTCAGCAGCAGAGAAGCTGTAATTTTTTTATGAGCCCTTTGGTGAAGAGTCACCTTCTTCCTTACCATGGGACTCAGAGTGCCACTGAGGCCACCTGTTTGCACATGCAGCTCAGGCTGGCTGTCCTGGCACTCCTTGAAAAGTCTGGCAGATATGTAGATGCTGTTACACAGCTAAGACTTCCCACAGTGGCCTTAGCAGGCTAGTGTCCCTGTTTAAGGGTGTATAACATAGAGTGTCTGTGAGGCACCACACCAGGTTTTTTTATTCCTGTTGTGGATCTCCCTCAGGTTTGAATTGTGCCTGTGTGAATGCATGGATGTGATTTTTTCCATGAGGGGGCACCAGCTGTGGCTGTGACTCAACCTAGGAAAGGTAGTTCAGCCAGAGGGCCTAACCTGCAGGAAATGTTGGAACATAAAGGCCTCCAAACCACAATCCCCCAAGGCAACCCAGCAAGAATTTTAGGGATAAAACTCTCTTAGTTCATGGCAATACGTACATGTGCACCATTCTTTGGACATTAAAATCAGTGTATCCTTGGAAAAGTGATGGCTCAAGAAAAACAAAAAACAAAACCCCAAAGCCCAAAGGCCTAACGGTTTCAGTGAAAACACATTTTCACCCTCAAGAAAAAAATTAGTGGAAAATTTTCAGATGCTCTTAATTGCATGCAGTTGTCTGTTGAATCATGTTCTATTTGTTTCCCTAAAAAGGACTGGATAATCGCTCCAAAGGGCTACGCAGCCAACTACTGTGATGGGGAGTGCTCATTCCCACTCAATGCCCATATGAACGCAACCAATCATGCCATTGTCCAAACTCTGGTAAGTCTCCAGCCAGCTCGGTGCCAAAACACCAGGTGAACTTGTAAACAAGATACCATTGTCTCAGTTGTGTTTTCTTTCTTGGCAACAGGTTCATCTTATGAATCCTGATTACGTTCCCAAACCATGCTGTGCACCTACCAAACTAAATGCCATATCTGTTCTTTACTTTGATGATAATTCTAATGTAATCTTGAAGAAATACAGGAATATGGTAGTAAGAGCTTGTGGATGTCACTGACAAACAGTCTTCACATGGACTCTGTGATGCTACCATGAACTTTGATACAACCTTCCCTGCTTTCAGGAGCTTGGAGAAAAAAGCATGTGATGTACCACGTTTCAGAACACCACGTATGTGCCTTGTGGGAGGACGGGGTGTGGGGACCACCCCTTGGGGTGTGAACAAACTGCTGGACTTCTTACAGACTGACCCTACGCCGCGGTGGCTGCTCAGCTCAGCGGCAGCAGCAATATGCCCACACGCTTTATTTGGCTGGGATGGTCTTAAATCTCACATAGCAGCTTGGCCTTTAGCAGTTGTTTGGACATGTGCTGCAGTTTTACCAGATGGGCTAACAACACCCAAAAAAAAAGTAAGGTCTTTTTCTTGGGAGTGGGGAGGGAAGACAAGGGGGAGAGGCAGAGAAGCTAAAGAAAGTGGTGTTGGCACTGTGGTCATAGAGCATACGTCTCGTGCAAGATCGTTTTGTCCAGAAGGACCAGCTACTACGCCTAGGCTGATGGTCTCCTCCTGACAGCTGTCATGACAGTAAGCATCTAAAATTGTGCCAAAGTAAATGTTTCAGTTCTCTTATGCTCCAAGCACTGTTTAACTCTGATCCTGCAAGCGTAAGATGGCTTGGCTGCACCATGTGTTAGAAACACTACCATGAACTCAGACCCTGGCTGGTCTTACCAGTTCACTCTCTGACTGAGCAGTACAACTTCATACACTCGTTCTTATGCAACTTCCTTCCCCTCCACAAACGAGGTGGCCTCATCTACTACCAGTTGCCCAGGAAGGAAGTCAGGACACTTCTAAAGCTGTAATTCGGATGTAAAAGTTTAGGGGCCATTCATTCTCTAGCTGGACAGTTTGTTTACAGGAAGACAGAATGTCAACAACATTTGCAACCCTTTCCATTCAACTCACATGACTAACAAATTGGTTTAAAGGATACACAGTGTAACCATGGTTTGTCTAGCAGAAGCTACTAGCAAATTGTTTTGATCAATATTAAACTTGTATTAAATGCACTTACCTCTACTTGCATTTAAAAGGCTTCTTGTAAATACAAGCTATAATTTATTGCACTTGTCACTGTATATTCATTGTGCTGTATCATTTATAGAAAGACTGCTTTTTTAAAAAGTTTTTATTTAGAAAAATCTCAGTGTAAACAATTGTACCACTTTGATTTTATACAAGAAACTCATGAGATTGTGCTTCACTAGAAAGTTGTTAAAAATGTAATAAAGGCTTCCTGTAAGACAGAAGTATACACATTGTTCCAATACATCTGCCTGTACAACACTTAGCTTTCACTGTGACTTTTTCACCTTCACACATTTTTAGATTGAACAGAATCAAAAGTTCTGGACAGACAGTGAAGTGAAGTACCGGGAGAAATTCACTGGTTGAAAAGTTCATAGATGTTTTGCCTTTTTTTTTTTTTTTTTAATAAAAAAGAAAAACAACCCAACCTACTCCATATGATGGACGAAACCCAGTATCTTGACAGATTAGTCAAATTAGCTTGTAGCTATCCTCATTCCATGAGTTTCTGTGCACAAGACAGCAGAATTCAGGTCCTTGGTTTGCTGTTGCCTTTGTATCATGACAGTCTCTGCAATGTAAATTCTTTGGCTTTCAATTAAATCTAACATGGAACATCTTATGCACCAAAGAATAGATTCATATTATAATCCAAGATACCACAAAGTGCGTGGCCCTAGCATTCAAACTCATCAATGCTTACTGCTTGGAAAAAGGTTAAGGCTCAAGAAGAAGGGGGAACTATTTTACACTACTGTAGAACAGCTGAATGGAAAAAAAGTATTAAAAGTATTAACTTTGTACCACTTGTTGTTCTCCAAGTACTCTGAATAAAGAGCAGGCCAGCACAAAGTTTGGATTCAGGCGAGGAAAGACATCATCAGCTCGGAAGTCTAACTGACCATTTACTATTAATGGAGCAGGTATAACAGCACCTATTATTCACTCTGGCTCTATAGAAGTAGAGCATAGTTGCACCTCTGGAGCTGGATGGCAGCAGCCTATAAAAATCCACCTGACACATGTACAGGGTGGCATCAGTAATGTTCAGGCACATGTTACAGTACCATCACTTCCACTATGGCTAGACCTCCCACGCTGAGAGGATTAACAGGAAACAACCAGCTCATGGGGGCCTGGTATCTTCCAAAGGTGTGTGTGTTTTCAACCTTTCAGCAGCTATATTAACACAAATAGGATTTAAGGACAGTTGTAGAGGGCAGCTGTAGCTTTTGCCTCTCTAGTAATGGTGAGCAGTTTGTAACGATTACTTTTTAACCAAATCTAACCTGAAGATAGAAATATTGTACTGCTGCCCGTCAGTTGGTTTTCCTAATGTATTTTAGTCTCAAAGGAAACCATTTACACTTCATTGCAGGAATGCAGAAATGCAGTAATACTACCAATGCTGAAAATATAACCCATTTGCACAGTAGCTACTTGTTTTCCTTCACACGCAGGGTAGTAAGTCTTTAACACACACACAAGGGGAAGATACCAATGTTTAGTACATTCAATTTCCTAGAAACAAAGAAACAAAAAAAGCCCCAATCCTACCCCCACCCCCCAAATACACTATTTGAAAATTAGCAAAGATAGAAATCCCTCAGCCACTGTACAAAGACAGCCAGGGGCAGAGCATCCAGACTTTTATTACAGTTCATCCCTTGCCTGACGCAAGACAAAACTATGCAGTGATTCGAGGTCTCTCGTTCCATTGTGTTCACTGACTTTCTTTCCGCCTCGGAAAAGCAGAAGTGTAGGATAACCACGTACCTTCAAAAGACACATACAGAAAGGGAACTTACTAATGTTCAAACTTGTATCCATCACTCATGTTTACCCGACTATGAAAAGCCTCTGAAGCCCTCTGAGACAATAGGCCATTTTAATTTAAAAAAACACAAACCCACAGCAGAACTTTCAATGCCAATCTGAAATGTCTCAACGTTTTAAGTGAATGGAATAATACATGCTCCTCTAGGCTCTTGGGACAGCAGCTCTGTCTTCAATTGTCTGCCTACCAGCACCAAAGATTTTTTTTTTTCTAGGAACAGAACTTTCCATCAGATACCACAAGACTGCCCTGGTGCTTTCACAGAGGGAGGCTTCTTAAAATAGGGGCTTCTTCAGCTTTATCCAGTAATGAGAATGACCACATCCAAATGAATAGCCCAGGAGAGAAATGGTGTCACCCAGGTGCTGTTCTGAACTGCCTCTTTTTGGCTAACAAACATCACTGTCAGCAGGCACCTGGACTGCAGCAGCCAGTTTGGACTGCAACATTTGGTACCCCATATTATCTCATTCATTTCAGATCTTTCACACTTACAGAAAATCTGTTGCAGACGTTACGTTCCACAGTGCAGTCTACTTCTGCTATTTTGACATCAGTCAAACCTGGAAATTGCTCTTTGGCAAGGTTCTCCCAAGTTGGAGCCAAGTTCTTACAGTGACCACACCTAGAAACAAAAGAGGGAGATTTGTTTAGCAGATATACTTTCCAGTTTATCTCTACTGTCTTGCTGCAATTGCTTTAACTAGCTGCCTTTCCTATCCGCTAGTGATTTGGCCCTCCAAGTCCCTTGCACTATTATGTCAGTAAATGAGCTAAGAAAAGAAGTGATTTTATTTAAGTTAAGCAGTGAAGTACTTTCTGGCCTTTGTTAGTCTTGCCTAGAATGGTATTCTAGATGTCGGTGCATTAGTATTTTACCCCACAGAGAAATATGAAGCCAAATAAAGACAAGCAGAGAGAATATTTAACTGGAACAAAAAAAAAAAAAAAAAAAGGGATCTCTTGGAAACAAACATGCTTTTAGGAAGGCACAGAATGTCTGTAGTACAAATTAAGTTTTCAGGTAGCATAAAGCTACATAGCTTGAGTTTAATTATTTAAATGATATTTTAATTTCCCTATTAAATTTCTCGCTGTTTTTAATGGCCTCCTTGACCAATGCATAGTAATTTTGTTTATATTCTGAACTTGGCTTAGCCAAGTTCCTAACGTGAACTTCTTATTGCCTTCAAGAAGAATTCCCAAAGCACTTTAGATTTTAAAGCTGCATTGCTCATTCTGTTCTAACCCAGCTGCACCTTAATTGGATTATTAAAACAGCCCCATAATTGCCTTGAGGCTGGATCAGGGCATTTACAAAAATAATGAAAGATGTCTCAGCAAAAGTTTTCTTAATGCAAGCCAGTGTATATTTAAACCACCTTGTTAATACATAGTGACAGTATGAAAGCATTTCTGACCACGCACAAAACCTACTAGAACAGGATGATTTTATACTTACTATGCAAGTTAACATTAATATTTATCCAAAACTAATTGACAGACAGAACTAGCAAGCAACATAATAGTCTTTGCTGAGCCTTGCATAAGTTAATCCACTTGGAAGAGAATAATTTCATTTATATGGGGAGTACTACAACTGTATACATAAGCCTGACTTACAGAGCTAAAACTAGGATACCAGCTATATAAATATAGGAAGCATTTTGCTAAACAGTAGCTTTCTGAACATTGCAGCCAGGGAGCATGCACTGGTTTAAGAACTTGACTCTACATTCTGAACCACCACCGTTTCTCAGCCTGCCATCCAACACTGATCCTATCTGTGAGATATGGCAGCATCCCATGAAAATCTCATGAGATGCGGAGATGGTATTATTAATAAAAACTAATAAAAAAGGGAGCATTTCTTTATCTCAAAATTTTCCAAAAAAAGTTTCTCAGATAATGAACTCCTAGATATGCCAACAAGCCCTGGGTTCAGAAATCGGACTGGAAGTTGCTCTGTGCACAGGTGCAAACTGAATTTATCAGCCAGTTCAGCTGGTGGCGCAATAGCAGCACAGGCACAGATTCAGTCCCAGTCCCTCACTGAGCACAGAGGGGATGGAGCGAGTGAGGAGAGAGCAGCAAACACGAAGGCGTGCGTGCGCTGTGGGCAGGGTATTTCTTAACCAAGTGGTGGAAAATCCTTGCTCGCATCCAAAAGCAGTTCCTTCAGATGGAAGAGAGCATAGAAATGGCTCTCAAGCAGCAAACCACACTGTGGTGAAAAGGGTGACAACCTGGAAAAGACTGCATCATTGAGCTTACATAAAATGAAACATTCCTAGGTACTTCTTGCCTACAATACTTCTTGCCTACATGCATGCCTACTGTCAGAGTTAATATCTTGATACGCCTGAGCACATTTAAATATGGATTGCATTTGCTTGTGTTGCTTTGTAATGGGGTCTTTTACCACCCCAAACAAAAGATCTTTTTATATTTTATATACTACATTAATGGGATGGCTAGTGATGCTAGATGTGTTATCTTCCACACAGTGACATACAGCTTAATTTTAATCTCTTCCCCTACACTAGGCTTCCTTCTGTTGGCTAAGAGACCAGAAAATGGATGAGCAAGATGGCATGCCAGTTTCATTAAATTCAATGGAGGCACAAATAAGATGACTTCTATAAACCAGAGAGAGAACTGTTAAACGTTCTTTTTCTCTCACAATGGGAACAGTAAGAAAAAGGCAGAAATGTTTGTACTACGAGTTTGTAATACTGAGGTCTTAACCCAGCTGGAGTCCCAGGCTCTGCTGTATATACCAGTAATGGCAGATGCCAGATAGGACATTACTTTAATTTCCCCCTCCAGTGCCTTCCATTGGGTGTCTACACCTACACCATCTGTATTGGAAACTTCTACCTTGGGTC